GCAACAAGCATCTCCCTGTGGCTTCCAAGAAAAACGAAAAGGAGGGCCTATTTTTTTTTTGTGTTTTTGGTCTCTTTTTTTTGTTTTTGCTCCTTTTCCTGCTTTGTTTGCCTAGGAAACACTATATTCTTGCATTTTGGACGGCTGCGTGCCGGATTCGTAGGTCAGAAGGAAGCAAAACAGCAAGGAAACAATGAAGGAAGAAAGGAAGAAGAGAAAGAAAGGAAGGAAGAAACGAAAACAAAGAAAGGAAGGAAGAAACGAAAACAAGGAAGAACGTAAGAAAAAAAGGAAAAAAGGAATAAAGAGAGAAAGCAAAGAAGGTAGAACAATAACAAAACAACAACAGCAACAATAATAACAACATCAGCAACAGCAGCAGCAACAACAGCAACAACAACAGCATTCATTCACTCGCAGCGGGAGAAGTCCTCGAATGCTTCGTATAGCTATCCTCGCTTTGCGACGACTCAGCTTATTTCCCGTTTTTTTTGGGTCCCTTGGGGAGTTACTCCACCTCAAGTTGCAACTTCCAACTACTGAGCTTAAGGAGTCTACTCACTCGGTGCAAAGCACTGGAAGCTCCCCGTCCCTCAATACAGCAGGAGCCGTGGTAGCTCGCTTCACAGATCTCTCCTGGACTGCAGGTTGCTGAGCATCGCTGGAAGGTTTGCAGGTCGAGCCTTAGCTCAGCACCTGCTGCTGCCCCGCCCCTTAGGGCTGCAGGCCTGACAGTTACAACTGCGATGCTTGCATGACGGTTACGCTTTCGTCTGCCTTGGTGTTTCATGGCGGCTGAGCCTCAAGCTGATCGAGGGAGTTCCTCCCCTCAGTTGAGCAGGAGAAAAGTCAAACCGGTCCTTACGCGAAAAAGGCTGCCTGCTGGATGCTTTAGGGGAGTTATCTGTCTGCCTCTCACATTGAGAAGAATTCTGGCAACAGGCTCGGAAGCTTTTTGGGCAAGCAGAGAGCCCCACTTAGCTCTCTGGGGAGTTTCTCCACTCAGAGGCTACAGCGCGTGGCAAAATGCCATAAAGATGCTGGGTGCTGAGCTGTACTCCTGGGAGTTTCTCCTCGGGATATGCCTGAGGAGCTACTCCACCGAGCGAGATGTGGCCATCCGGAACTTGGGAGTTACTCCTCCAACCAGATGGTATGCTGCGTTGACCTCCGCCTGTGCCTCTGCCCTGGCCCTTTGAAAGGGGAACTCCTCCTCCTTTCTGACGCTTCTGCAGAGTTGCTCGGTGCATCACCGCTCTTGGAGGTACTGTCCATCATGGGCCCACTACGGAAGAAATCTTGAAGGGACATGATATGATGTCCCTTTGGGCCTTCGGGACTAATCCGCCTGATGCTCGAGTAGCAAAAGGTAGCAGTTGCAAGCAATCAGCTGATCAGCCAGCTGACAGGCAGATGGTGAGCATGCGTCGTTCCTAGATACCATTGTCCTTCCGAGAGCACAAGGCTGCGATAGTGGCCTGACGCTCTGCTCCAAGATGCACAATCCCCGACCTTAGTCGGAAGGGGACCCTTGCTAGTGAGGAGTCAGCTCCTGCACAAAAAGGAAGTTCAACGACTCCTTGCAGCTTACCTGGCTGACTGTTTTTGCCATGTCCTGCATATCGAGGCAGGGCAAGGCAGACAAATCTGGCTGGGGGTAAGAAGGCATGAATCGGTGATCTATTGCTCCAACTGTTGATCATGGTTTGCAGATCTGCTGCCATTTCTACATGTAAAAACACCGGGGAATTACCTTCCTCGTCCACGATGTACCCTGCTTCCATTGGAGAGCGCGTCTCCCAAGCCTCCAAGGACAAGGGGGAAAAATTTGGCAAAATGGCTGTGAGAAATTCCGCTGCATCCTGCTGACGCCCATCAAAAGTGCAGCCTCGAGTTGCTGGCTCAAGAGAGGGATGTTCAGGCGTGAGGTGCGCTAGCTGACTAGCTCGTATCGGTTCCTGCAGAAGTGAGAGCTCAGCTGAGGGAATAACCCAATGTAGAATCTGCAGTACCGAGTTGGCGTAGCAATGGTTTCTACGATTAGCCAAAAGCCAAAAGCCATTCAGAACGAAGACAGGCACTCGCGGACCAACCTGAGGTTCGTCTTTAGGGGGTTTGGATGACTTCTTAGGCTTAGCTTCATAGGTTCGAGGAGTCATGTCCAGCCCCTGCCGCTGAGCTTCTTGAAGAACATGCGTTTGCAGAAGAGGCACACATTGTTCTGAATGCCTTCCAGGTGCATCAACCTTAGTTTGGCAATATCGGCAGGTGCTCCCCTTTTTCATCATCACCTTATGTTGCTGCAGACGTGATGTGATGATCTGCACAACTCTGCTCATGACCTCTGGATGCTGACGGTTTAGGTGCTGTTTGACGGCCTTGTTGCCTGCTAACGCCTGCCCACACAATGCACAGCTCTCCATGAGCTAAACGTGGAGATCAGGGTTGGAAGCTGCGGACGCAGGGTCCTGCAGAGATTCGCGCTTGACATCCGTGTGCACATTGTCAAGCTCAGTCTGCCGGAGACTGTCCTGCTGATCCTCCCGGAGGAGAATATGTACGCACGGACAGGTTGAGATCTCTATGTGTCTCCGGAGATAGAAATAGGTCCTGAAAGCTCAACCACAAGCTAGACAGTCTGGCGTTCCAGCTTTGGAGTGCTTTTTCGGGTCAAATTTAGTGCCTTTAGGGAAGTGCCTGACCCCAGGATGGTGCTTCTGGGAGTGCCTACGCAGAGCGCCTGTTTCGATAAAGATCGCTCCACACTCCCTGCAGAGCTGCTGTTGCTCTTGACTGCCAAGGTTGCCCCTAACGGAGCCCTGTAGCTGTGGTAGCATCTCTGCCAGTCTTTGCGCGCGAGGCAGGTAATGTGGGAGGAGTTCCTCCTTGTCCCCCTTATGCTGGCGCTTGAGAATTTTTTCAGTCGCGTCATGATCTGAACTTTGGCTGTTTTCATACCGTTGCGCCTGAGCAAGCTCTCAACCCTGCACCCCTAAACCCTAAAAGGACGCCAAAAGGAAAGCCTAAACCCTAAACCCTAAACCATGAAAAGGTAAGAGAAACCTTAAACCCTCAGAGGAAACCCAAAAACCTAAGAGGGTGGGATGCCCCCCCCCCCCCGCGGCCCCTAGGGCCAGAAGCCTGAGCACTAAAGGACGGACCGTGATGCATGCATGCATTGCCTTTCTTTTTATACTCTTGTCGCAGATACAATGCGTCATATGTTAACAAATGTACTCTCGAAGAAGTTCCTAAAAGAGAGCTTTACGTGACAATCTCTAAAACATCGCAAAACCTTGTTTGTGGAAAAACAGGGCCCCCACAGCGTCCTTTCTGAATCCTAAACGGTCAGGGAAAGTTTAAACCCGAAAGGAAACCCTAAATACTACTACTACGACTACTACTACTACTACTACTGCTGCTACTGCTACTACTACTACTGCTACTACTACTACTACTACTACTCCTCCCACTCCCACTCCCACTCCCACTCCCACTCCCACTCCCACTCCCACTCCCACTCCCACTCCCTCTCCCTCTCCCTCTCCCACTCCTACTCCTACTACCACTACTACTACTACTACTACTACTACTAGTACTACAACTACTACTACTACTACTACTACTACTACTACTTTTATACTTGTTGTTCCTTCCGCCTCATTTTCCTATGGCTTTTATTACGTTATAGTAATTTATTTTTTTTGATCCTTAATTTTATTTTTTTTGATCCGGTGGTTTAATTTTTTTGATCAATTTAACTTTTTGATCCTTCACCCGCAGCAGCAGCAACAACAACAACAAGGTTCATCGCATAAAATCCATCCAGAGTGTAAGGAAAATAATGTTTTTTCTTTCAGCAAAACCAATGTAACGTACGCTTTCCTTAAGAAAACACAAGGAAATGGCAAGAAAAATAGGTTTTCCTGAGGAAAACCTAGGGAAACACCGCGAAATAAGTTCAGAATGTGAGGAAATATAGCTTTTCCTAGGAAAAACCAAGGTAACGTGGTAGGCTATCCGTCCAGAAGTAAGGAAACTTAGGAAAACCAAGGTAACGAACGAAAACCTAGGTAACACACGTTTTCCGCAGTCTTAAGAATGGCCGGAAATCCGTTCAAACTCAGGAAATAGTATTTTCCCTAGCAAAAACCACCAAAACAAGGACGAAAAAAAAGCCCCCCCAAAACAAAACCAAAAAAAAGCTACCCAAACGAAAACCGTTCAAACTGGAAGGCACTGGCTGCAAAGCCGAACAACAGTGCCCGACACGGAAAAATATGGACTTCTCGCGTGTCAGGATGCTGCACTGCAACATTGTTGTGTCTCAACTGTCTAGGATGGACAGGCAGAATTCTGTATGTATTCGGTATTCTTGCAAGCTTACGCAACCTCAAGTAGATCTTTTCTAGCATTCAAGCAGTTGTTCAACATGATCATCAAGAGAGCAGCGAAGCATCGCACTACTGCCTTCCAAATCTCACGCTCTGTGCCGGCGCGGTCAAGTGCAGCTGTTTGCCGTGCTCGCGAGCAGGCTTTGCAAGTAGGCAGTAGTTCTACAACCAACCAGCAACACAGGATTGGAGTGCACGAAAGGTTATCCTGCCAGCTTTAGCCTGCGTAACAATTGCATACCACAGTAGTCTGAGAGCATATGATTTTCCTTCAGACGACCTAGTGAAGCAGGATGTGGTACTCTTTAGGCATTTCATACTCAAGACTGCACCATACTGCACCTCTTCCTGGTTCGTGCTGCCAGAGGCCCAGGCAGCGTTGCACACGTCCAGATACAGCGTAAAACTTCTGTCTGCAGCTTCAACGCGCAGCACACCGGCAAGCTCATGAGCTTTCTTGGTGCTGACAGGTGTCATAGCACGGACCCTGAGCAAGGTCCATGAAAGGGCACTGTATCCTTCTTAGTATAGGGTCCCCGCTCATGTGCCCGTGTCTTCTTATGAACTGTCGTCTGCGCTATGTGAGGTGTCAACTTACCCTAGCAGATGGCCGCAGATGGGCAAGATCCGTCAACATCTCGCTTTTTTGGACTGCAACCAGCTTGACCTGTCAAGTCTCGTTGCGCTGAAATTGAGGCATGAGGAGAGCATAAAGGTTTGCTGCAGGCGCTCGCGAATTCGATGTGCGGCTGCATCAGCCTTCAGCAAGCAGGCATCGGATGCACACTCCTGCCAGGTTTCGGCCACAAAACCAACTGGAGAAGGAGCAAAGCGGCCGGATATGTGTTACATTCAACGGAGATGGCACTTCTGTGTGACCCGACTGCCTATTATGACTCCTCGCATCTCCTCGCTGCATTCCGGAATAGAGCCTGACCTCACGTTGATAGCCAAAAGTGCAAATCTGAAGCTATCCTGTTGACCACACTGTACAAGCTTGTCTACAACCAGGCATGTGAGCATGCTAAAGTACAGTCGTCACAAGAGCCAACGTGCGCAGTATGTGCAGGGTTTAAGTCTCCGAGGGATTGTGCAGGGTTTAAGTCTCTGTTGAGGCTTTTATATGAGATAGCATGAGCGCATGTGCCACGAAGAGCGGCAGGCCCAGTGTCAGAATCTGAGAGGCAGCTCGTAAACAGCAACAGGAGGCTACGCAGGCTACAGTCAACACCTTTGCTTGGGCAGGTCAATGGCCAAGAGCTTGTTTTGCCTGCTCCCAGTGACAGGTATGTGCCCTCCATTGACAACAGCTTTGTTTTCGACCGCGTGTTCGGGGTTGACGCCGCTCAGAAGGAGGCACTGGGTGAACATGTTGTTTAGATACTAGTAGCTGCTAGTTGATGTGGACAAGGAAGTTGTCACAAATTGTGCATCAGGAAGGGCTTTGCAACTCTGCAGGTGTATGACTATGCTGCCAAGCCCATCATCAATGGTGTGCAATTCCCCGAGTGTTTTTGCAGATTGACAGCTGGTCTGGTGAGTGTGCTTTCTCACTCAGCCGTTTGAGGTTGCGTGGCTTCAACGGTACAGTATTTGCTTATGGAGTGTTTCTCAGTTCCTTTCCGTGGCATCCGAGTGCGTGATGACAGAAGCACTGGCGCTCCAAGTGTCGTCCAGCCGCCTGCGAATCCAGGTCAGACGGCTTCAGGCAAAACCCACACAATGGAGGACCTCCGGCAATGGGATACAAGTTAGACAGAGTTATAGAAGGTAGTCACGCCGGCCTCCAAATCTGCGATGCTTCCCAGGGTCCAGACATCGAAGACGAGGTCCAGATGGGCGTTATTCCAAGGCCGATTAGCATAGTCTCGTGTTACCATGGCTCCTTGCACATCACATTCAAGACGTGAACAACGCTGCCGCAAGGGCTGGTTAGTGTAAAGCGAAAGCAGCTTTGCCTCCGTACACTGCCATCCCACAATTTCGCACGGCTCGTTGTGGCTTGTGGCCTGAAGCTGCAAGTTACAAGTAGAGCGCTGTGAATGCTGTCCACAAAGCAGGAGGATGTGCCCCATCGCAAACAGTATCTCCAGATTCCCAGCCCTTGGGTGTTTAGGCAGGACCCTCGCACTTCGAACATGTGCATGGTCCTCGCAGCAGCGCCTGCTGGACAAACATCGACAACGATTTTCGTCCAGAGGGTCTAGCCACCGCAATCGAGAAAACTGGACGACCTAGACTTGGAGAGATGACGTCGGACGGTTAAGTCTTTTCCGAAGTGCGATACAACCCTCGTATTCGGCCCACAGGATGGTGTGGTCAATATTCGACGGCATTGACCATGTCATGGCCTTATGCACCAATTCTATTTTTCCGGAAGCCTGCTCAAAGCGAGAATGCAGGCTGCAGACTACATTGAGTTCTTGGTGAAAGTCTCCATCGTTGAGATTTACAACGAACGCCGGAACACAGACCTGGGGCAGACTAATGCTAATTAGGCGTTTCCTGCTGCTGAGGTATTCGGGATTTGTTGGATCCGAAGAAGGACAACTTGAAAATCCACGAGGACAAGGTCTGTCCATTGTCAGGAGCAGTGCCGCAAGCTTGTGCACTGCTTGTGATTAGGCTCGGGGTGTCTTCATCGGTGAAGTCACTGAAACGTACGTTGGGCCGCGCTGGCAGAGAGAAGTCCCGAGTCGCTCGCCGCCAGTCACACCATGCCTAAAGGTCTGAACAGGAGATTTTTGACATCATGCCTGCATCCAAGATCATCCCAAGATGGTTCGAATGATGAGATGCTCTGCTGCTATGCAAGTGCGCTGCGGACTGAGGAAAGCCGGCAAGTACAATCGTGCTGTGGCCGAGACGAATCTAAATGAACATTCTTCCAGGCCGCCAGCCCTTGTTAGTACCTTTGTTTTGCAACCGTCCAGCTGCTGGCTCGCTGAAAGGTCGCACCTGATCTTCATGCTTACCATTGAGCAAAAGAACTTGCACGATCGCTCCGTCAAGGTACCGTGGCCATCGCAATCCATGTCATCGCATCGTCACCTTGCAGGGACAAGGTATTGAAACACAGATGGTCCTGACTCTTCCGAGCCTATGCCACAGCCAAGACAAGCAAAGTCACGACGAGAATCTGTTTCGCGATTGAAGTTGGGGCTAAATTCGGGTTGAAGGCGCTAGCCCGGCTGCCATAGTTTCGGATGCTGACGACAGCCAGTGTTGGTGTATCCGGCCTCGTCGCACCATGGCAGAGCAAGACTCACTTTTTTGCTGGTTTGTTTGTGTGTGCACATACCGTGTATGTGTATATCCCGCAGGAGCTCATGGAGACCGTGTGGTCCAGATGGATAGCTTTACTTCCATCGCATTGTAGCAAATGTGGTTCAAGGCGGCATATGAACGATCATCTGATGCCGAGCTTTGCCAGTTCCGCGGAGTAGGATCGTTGGAATCACGGAGCCACCATACGTTTCGCCGAATCCTTCAATCCAACCGCGCTGGCAAATGCAAAAGTATCGGACGACAGGATAAAGTCGGTCATGGCTGCAACCAGCCCCTATTCTCAGGAGCACAGAAGCGACAAATGAACAAGCACGTGCGAGCAGACATGCGCAGATTTGCTGCTCGTATAGTCGCATTAGAACCCTGTTGGCTGCTTGTCAGGTGGGCAAGTTGCATTTGGTGGATCTAGCCGGCAGTGAGAAGGCGAAACGGGAGCTTCGGTCTTTCCATATGGAACTGGAATCCAACCCCCCTGGTTGTCGTGCAGGTTGCCAAAACTGGAGCCTCTGGCGAACGCTTGGACGAGGCACGGAGTAACGTGTCGAAGCTGGTGCCCTTCGTGGCTGTGTCAAAGTCTTGCAGCGGGCTCCCTGGACGACTAGCAACGACTTGTTATAATACAGTGGCTCTGGCGACTCCCGCAGCCCCTTACGCAACCAACCAGCTCTTGCTTTTCTGACAGAGATGCTAGGCTGCTAGGATTGGTTAAGGCGCCAGGGCTGCTGCACAGGCAGCGGTCAGGGAAACAGTTTTCAAACGTGGCAGGCCATGGGACCCACACTGTTGATAGGCCCTGCCAGCTTTAGGCCATGCTGGGCAGTTGGGCCTGTGTTTCCTTTCCCAACGACCTTTTGATTGCAGAAACCTGCCAAACAGAAAGAGGTAGTCGACAAGTGCGTAGGAGAAATGGCAACTCCGGCGCCACTTCAGCATGCTCTCACTTTGCCATGGTGCCGCTGTGTGAGCACAGGGCGGGGACAGACGGTGCGCGACCATACTGTGTGCAGCAGGGGTGAGGGGTTAGATAAGGGGGTTAGGCTCTCGGGTTCCGCGTATATATATATATATATATGCGTCTATCGACAGACTGTAAGAAAACCAAAACTTTCATATCGGGGGGGGGGAACGATGGCGGATGATGCCGGTAGAGTGCTAGTGGAATCCCTCTACGTGGGCTTCACTGAGATCAAGTCCGGTTGCTTTATCCAGAGACACTGATGTTGGGTTTCAATGAACCCGGATTCTTGATTGATGATTGAAAACTGCCAACGCCGCTAATCTGTTGAAGGGTATCTTCAATCTTCAATTGAGTTGCGTGTTGAATTGCACGGTGCGGGGGGGAGGGGGGGCGGGGGGTGCTGAAATTCAGCAACATTCCCGATACTCGTGATATCAGCATGTCAGAAAGGCCCTTCGAGGCAAACTCTCAGAGATGTCTCGTTTCAGCAATTTTTGCAGATCAACAAAAGTTATCTGTTAATATTCTTTGACAGAAATTCTCCACAAATCCGTGACGCCAGATTGCAGGCAAAACTGCATGTGCATGACCCTTGACATAAGTCCATAGTTAAAGACCACTACAACCGGCCTAGACCGTCAGGGTTCGGAGGGAGTTAAGAAGCACTCGGGATTACAGCAAAGCTTGTAAGGAGACTCCAAAAACGGCGAGCCTGGATAGTCCGGGTTGTAGCGGTTGTACAAAGACACAGTTGGGGCACTGTTGAGGCTGAAGAACTCAGCATTGCGGCGCCTACTTTGTAAGCACGGGCTCGTAGACCCAAAGTTGGGGTAAGTTGTGCATGCAATGGTTTCATGGTTCAGGGACCTGTTTCCTTCGGCGTGGCCACATAAACCATGGTCAGATGCATCGAAGTGTTCAGCATTGTTGAGTGCGTTTGCGATTCGGGGTTTGAGAGTTTACGATATTCACATAAAGCCTGCCGAATACCAGATTAAAGCCCTAAGCCCTGCACTCGGTGGCGGGAACACCGGTCATATCAGAGAATATGATACTTGATGTCTTTCTGTGCTCTGAACACTGAACATCGAAGATGTCACGGAAGACTTGTCCAGTAATCTACAATGTTCAGTGTTCATAGCAGTGAAACAGTATCACGTTGCCCTGGAAGCAACATCTTTCCCAGGAATCTTCATAGTTCAATGTCCGAAGCAAAACATCGCATTTGATTTCTGTTTGATGTATTTCGGGGTTTGTGAGTTTAAGCGCCCCTGATGGCATGCAGTGACTGCTGCCGCACTGGATCGCGTGTTGTGGTAGCTTGAGTCCTAGGGTTTACATGCTGGGCTGTCTTCTGCGGCTAACAATGTTTCTGTTCTCAGGGTCAGTTTGCAATTCAGGCTGCTGTAAAGGTAAGCAGTAAGGTTGTAACCAGCTTTCCGACAGAGGTTTGGGGACGAGGGCAACTACTCATGCCTTTCCGGCGTTGAGTCTTCGGCTTACACCAAGGATAGTCTTAGGTTCATGAGTGAGATTTTTGTCAGAGTCTATCAGGGCTAGCGCCAAGGTAAATGTTAGGGTTGACGTTGCATCGAATTAGGACTCAGTCAGTTCAGCTTCACGGTTACTATTGCTGTTCATATTCCCGTGTTGATTGTAGTCTGCGGATAAGTATTAGGGTTGCCATTGGGATGAATGTTTGGGCCCATGTTGAACTTGGGGCATTGACATTAGCAGTAGTTGGTAATTCCGTGACGGGTAATAGCAGAATCAAGTATCCGGTCATAATAGGTCTGCAAATCGTGCCTTGGGCTCAGTAAAGCTTTCATTGAAACCAATACTCGGGTTGCTACTAAGGCCACAATCGGGTTTGCCATTGAAGGTAGCTTGTGATTACTGTTGGGGCCAAGAGTCGGGATAGAACATGGGTGATATTAGGGTTGCTAGGTCTAGGTATACTAGCTTTACACTTAGATGTTGTGGGTATCAGCAATCTTTCATAACGATTCTTAATCAATTTAATATTCAGCTTAAGGTCTTCTTGGTGTATTGCAGTTGCCATGCGGCTCAGGATGCCGGTTTGTAAGCGCGAAATTGACATTGCTTCTATGTGGGTCTCTCCTAGGGTTGCGCGTAGGCTTGTCTGCTGGAACTCAAAATAGAGCGACTATGAAGAGCCGTGGCTTTCCCTTTCCTAGGTCCATTCCTAGGGCCGCAATTACGACTCAAATCTTTTGGACTGGTTCTCTTAAGCCTTGCTCCCTAGATTCTTGTAAGCAACATGCACAAACCATTAATCCTCTTAACATCACCTCGTATGCATCACTGCCACCGCAGTTTCCGGATTAATCTCATCATGACATGTATCACCCTCATTACGTTCTCCAAAGGTAAAACCCAGATTATCATTATCCTTGTGCCCTTGAGGTAAAGTAGGGGAAACTCAGCGCTAATCATCCCAATTTCGTGTTGCAGTTTTCTGGGATTCACTACAGTCTCCACTCGAGTCGCTGTCATGATGAAGGGTTCGGTTGATATTTGGTTGGTTTTGTGCTCAAGTTGTGGTGGGGATCAGAGACAGATAGATAGACAGATAGGTAGATAGATCGATAGTCAGATCGGTACACATAGCCGCCTATGCATATCCATGCCATATCGTGGTAGCCATACATAGTCATACACGGTGATATAGAGCAGATAACATATCGCAATCGTCTGCGCGTCCTCCCGTTCAATTAACACCGCTTTGCATGGTTTCCTTCTTCCGGTCGCTTTGGGTTTGGTGGTGTGCATAGACCCGACGCAGAATTCGTGTGTGGCGCTCTCTAAAACTGACCGGTCACATTGTGCATGCCACCCGACTCCGCTGCAGCCAAGCCATAAACATTCAGAGGGCATGTTTGGTGTCAGGAGCATGTTGGTGTCAATAAGTCCAAGCAGTCCTGCAAAAGTGCAGGGACCTTTTGGCCGCGGGGCCTCGCCCATTCCTTCGCAAACACGATACTGGTTACCATTGTAAAGCCGGGATGCTCAATGCTTCTTTATCTTTCATAATCTGCTTCCTCATCGATAGCTCAAAGTGACGTCAGCATGAAGTTCTGCCGAACATATACATTCTCGATGCCTCTTCCTTGTTTTTGAGCACCCTGTGCTGGGGCCACCAGCTCGCAGCGCGGGCAGCTGGTGAAAATCTGGATTCGGCGCATCGGATAGTCATGCAATGCCGCTTGGTAGTTCTCTATAGGCAGCTTTCCCGCATGAGTGCTGGGAGTCAGTCTGTCCGATTGGCAGGCCAAGAACATCAACCGATCTCTTTCGGCTCTCGGCAATGCCCGGAACTGACCGCGGTAGCGTTGCTCCAACCGGACTGGATTATCCAAAGCCGGCTTCCCAAGGTGATCAATGCCCTCACTGACCGCAAGTCGAATCATGTCCCATATCGTGACTCGAAACTTTCCAGAGTCGGGATCTGATTTAAATGCACCCGTGGTGTGATCTAAGAAAAGCATGCATGTCACCAGCTACCCCGCTAGAAGACAGACGCACGCTCGTTGCAGCAAGGTCCTACAAGAGTCCCTGGGCGGCAATGCCAAAACGTCCTTGATAATTACTTGTTCTCCTTCCTATTTCAACGAGCAGGACAGCCATGCAAGGGGAATCAATGGTCCAGCCGAGTGACGCATTCGGATGAAGAAGCATGGCCTGCCAGGAGACCGTCAGCACACTGCGCTTTGGTCAGCGTGTGCGGCACACAGGATCTGAAAAATCGATATACGTGCTGCAGCGCAAAATGGCAGGCGAAGATGATCAAGAACGTTGTGAAAGTGAACCATGAGCGGTCTGTGGAGGCACATGCATTGCACATGCTGCATGTTTGGCCAAGGGGGCCACTTCAGAGCCTGATTCCTCTCGTTGGGCTCTGGCCAATCATAGGAGCTCAAGCTTCTGCTGCAGCGAAGAGACCAGGACTCTGCAGTCGCAGACTCTCGAGCTTGAAGTCAGCAGATTCTTGTGGAGGCGTTGTCAGAGCTTCGCAGTCGTGTTTCGACGCCTCAGACTTGGCGAGAGTGGCGTAGCACCCGTGCTTTCGTGTGGGGCAACGGTCGAGGCTGGAGCAGCTTCTGCGCTCCAACGGCATCACCGTCCCCGAGGAAACGACGCGAGAGAACACGCTCTCAGTCTCAGTCTTTTTTTTGCGTCCTCTTTCTCGACGACTCTCTCGAGGACAAGAGCTCGGCCGTTTTTCTGCCGGCCGGCACAGTGGGCGCTCCGACCCCCGTAGATGAAGCGCAAAGCGCCGAGCTCGAGGAGCAGCTTCAGGACTCTGCAGTGCCGAGTTCTTGCAGGAACAACTCTGCTCTCTGCTCTCTGCTCTCTGCTCTC